CTTTTAGACTATTCTCTCCCCCATAGACTTCAATGCCGTAAACATATTTCATCCAGTTTTTCTCAGTCTTATCCCCACCCCGATGCCAGCCTCATCCTACAACAGTGGCACCATATAGCAATATATGATACAGTCTTTTTTTATACAGCCCATCTTCTCAGATTATTTGTTCAGCATACATACTGAGTAAATACAGTGAAAGAAGACTGTATGCTGAGCAAATGATTAAGAAGCTGGACCTTATGAAGGAGAACATGACATCAGTATTAGAGCAGTTCTCCTTAGCCTGTGATATGCAGAAAGCAAAGATGACCTCCAGTACTTTTTGAAGATAAAAGACTGTAGATTTCATATGAATTATACTTCAACAGGCAGAACACCAAATTTCTAACAAATGAACCTCTAAGTAACATGATAGGAGAAAATATTGAAGTTGCTAAGAATTTAATTTTACTTGTATTCATAATGCCTATGACAACAGAAGTCAAAATTAGCTTATCACATTGGGAAAATCTGATGCAAAAAAGGAAGTAATAAAGAGGATTATGGAATTTTCAGTTATATCATATGCATGTGGACACTGGACAATGAAGAAGGAAGACCAAAGAAGAATTGATTGCTTTGAATTTTCTGAATTGATACCTTTGAATACCTAGAAGGGCACTGAATATATGTACTATGGGCGCCCAGAAGAACAAAAAGACATTTGTCTTGGAAGACTACCGTCAGATGTTCCAGAGAAACAAAGGCGGCAAGACATCATCTTGTCACTTTGGCCGTGTGATCAGGAGGGTCCCGTCTATGGAGAAGTAGTCATGCTTGGGAAAGCAGAGGGTCAACAAAAAAAACTGGAATACTCTCAACAGGATAGATTGGTGTGGTGATTACAGTAATGGGCTCAAGCATAAGAGCATCTGTGAGAATAACAGAGGATTGATAAGAACTGAATTCTGTTGTGCATAGGGCCCATAAAGTCCTCCTTATCCTCTATCCAGGTTTTGCATGAAAATACCACAGCTTGGATTAGGTAGGCATCCCTTGGTTCTCTTTATTTTTCAATACTTTGAAAAGATTTTTGGTTTTTTGCAGCAGATTTACCCAATGCAGTATGTTGATTTCTTGGCTGCTTCTTCCATAGGTAGTGATTATGAATTCAAGTGAAGTGAAATTCCTGGTTATTAACTCCTATGTATTGATATGAAAATGCATCCATAATGTACTGTCAGGTTAAGAATATTTGCTTGCAAATGTTAACATTAGTTTAAATATGTGAGTTCACATATATTCATATGCTTTATTTAGCAGCTCTCTTAAGTGAAGTTGGAAGGGTTACATAATGGTGCTTCAAATTCTTCTTTATGTCTTCTTGTGTTGTGGTTGTGTCCTGTGAATCAGAACCAACTCATAGCTCACCCTCTGGTGGATTTTCAGAGGCAGTTAACCAGACCGGAGGAGACTGCCCATTGTCTCCTTCAGAGCAGCTAGTGGCCTCCAACTGTGTGCCTTTGGGATTGCAGTGCAGATTCTTGCCACTAGGCCACCACACTGTTTTTATTATAAATATATACCGATCATATTAATCAGTGATAATTCATATTGTAAGACAAAATGTCTGTGGTTTTATGTAAAATCAATATGATTTATAAAGCTTCAAATTAAGGAAAAATAAAAATCTAAAACTTCTCTTGCAGTCCAGAAAGTAAAAATTATTTCCATTTTGAAAAACTGAGACCAGGTACATTTTTTCCAATTTTTATTGAGACAATACATATAAATAATATTTTAACTATAATATTTGTAGAAACATTACAATATTGCAATTTGTCAGGAAATAACAATATAAAATGTTCATTATATTTTAAATATATTTATTTGGTTATAGAGAAAATATTACATTTAATGGCAGTAGTTCCATTGTTGCATAGAAAAATCTTTGAAAGTTAAGTTAGCTATAAAATTCAAACTTAAGCATAGCACCTTTTCCTCACTTATTGTCTCTCTCATTATCTGACATTTGCATTTATGACTGGTAAAAAAATTTACTCTTTGATTATTTCGTGCATTAATGATGCATGTCTGGCAATAATGAACACTTCGGCACGAGGTGAGAATAATGCTGACTGATATAATACTAATGCTGGTTAAGTTTGGGCCATGATTTACAGAGCTTTGGCAGTTTCCTATTGACGTAGTTAAATAGATATGTATAATGTAATTTGTCTGTTGTATAAGGATATAGTCACTTTCCATTGTGTGATCTGAACCATTTTCACGTAACACTGATGTTTGCATAAGGACCTGGTTTTTGAAACCTACCCAGGTTGGTAAGTGGATAAGTGAGGACTGGGTATATTTTAATACTTTTATAAATAAATTACTTAATAATGTTTATCTTGGGGCGGGGAGACCTCTGAGAAATCTGTCATTTTAGCACACTGTGAAATTCCAGAGTTGAAGCTTCATATTTGAGGGAACAAGTTATTGAACTTTTTAAATAGCATTGGGATGTGGAGAGTAATAGAGAGGAGCTGTATTGAAATTCTCAGTCTCCGAAGGACAGCTGAGTCGTTGCTAACATGGCTTCATGGAATTGGAAGTGTAAGTACTGCTTGTCTTCCTAAGAAGTTCAACACTGATCAGAAAGCAAGAGACGATGGTGACTCAAGCAAGTAAGGCCAGTCACCTGGCATTAGCACCGGTCAAAGGTTTTTAGTCTAGTTTGTACAGCCTTCTGTGATTCTGGACTTTTCTCAGGGTCCAGGATGGAACTGTGATAGCCAGCTGGACCTCGTATCTCCTTTTAGCGGATTTCCTGGGTGTTTTCCTAGAGAGCAGTTTGGCTCACCCTTGAGAGTATATCCCCTGAAGTCCTTATTAAGCCAGTCTGTCCTGTCCTGAGGGGTCTTATTTTCACTTGTCAGGACCTGGATTTAAATATCAGCACCATAAACTGCATCTGGGTGGATCAAAAGGCTTCAGAGCTTTGCCTCTTGATGCTCGGTCAATGAGACTCTTCAAAACACTCTATCATCAAGTATACAGGGTTTTCAGTATTTTCTAGACGTTTGTTTTCTTAACACTGTCCAGACTTTGGCCACTTCGATGCCTAAGGGAAGCTAGAATTCCTGGGCCATTCCTGGGCATGGATATTATTTTTAAAACTTTACTCAGCCCTCCTGAATTACAATGATAAAATAATGGATGTTGATAACAGAAAGGAAAAAAAGAAGGGGAACAACTTATGTATGTGAGACTATTTAGAGAAAAAACCCTGTCAGCACCTTTTCTGGGCTTAGAAGATCAGAAACAAGTCTCTCTTTTTCCTCATTATCCCTAAACTTTAGCATAGCACCTGGGACATGGATTGGTACTGAATAAAACACAAGTTAAATGGAATTAATTTAACTGCAAGTAACTTTGGGAATGTACGACACATTGAAAAGCATGTTCAAAGACATGCAGCCATCAAGTTACACACTTTCTATACTAACGTTTTTATACAGTGCACTTTCAAGATAGTTTGTAAGCATATATAACATTAAAGAAGATAGGTTTTACAAAGGAAAATGCAAAGAAGTGATAAGGAAACAAATCCATAAATAAGCAGGGCACCTGGATGATTTAGAGTCAAGAGAAAATATTCAGACCCTGACACATCAACCACTGTCTTCAGTTCTTTGGCGCGTTACTTACTATTCAATGACATCAGGCACACACCAGCCTATGTAGGGAGCGAAGGCCAGATTGCACCCTTCCAGAGTAGCATTATTGTCATTTGTGTGGGTGTGCTGGTCAGAGAGAGGTGAAAATGAACTTATTTCAGTGTCCATGTCTCATGTCTGTTTGGATATTCTATTGCAATTAATAAGTGTAAAAAGTTTAGCCGCTTTCTTTCAAAGAGGCTACATTATCTGCAGCAGAAAGAGTTCAATAAACAAACAAAGAACCCCAGCAAAACCCTTTCAAAACAACAGCATATAGGATTTCCAAAGCTGTGATGGTGCCATGTAGGAAATCTCTTTTGGTTTTCTTCTCGGGGCGGGGGGGCCTGTGAAAGAGCTGGAGAACATCAGGAGCCTCAGGCCAGCCTTGTGTTCTGCTGGGTCTGAAGGGACTTGACAGGTTGGAAAGTCCAGGCCTCCTCGCGATGCTCCAGGACTGACCCCCGTGCCCACACCTCCTTCCTTCCGAGGGTCTGAAGTTTCAGGGAAGGCGTGAGCGATCCAAGACTGAGTTAGCCTCCCTGAGTCCTACACACTGGAACCGAAGAGGACACCCATTGAGGAGCTCGTAGACCAGACAGCTCGTCCCCTGAACATCCACATGTTCGACAGTCAGCGTGTACATAGGGCTCTGGATATACATTTCAGTGGAATAGAAGGCGGTGGGGTTGCTTTGCAGGAAATCTGCTGCCTCAGCACAGGGAACTTGGAAACAGCACTAATTCCAGAGGTCAAGATCCCAGAAGGAAGCTCGAAGAATGGCTTTGTCTGGGGAGAAACGGAACCTTGTACGAAGCAACCATACAGCAAGATGGCGTGACTAGAGGATTCTTCAGGGAAACGTGCTCTGTGCCATGACTTGCTTAGTCAGGATGGAAAAGAGCAGCTCGGATCTCCGTGATGTCTTTCACGGGTTTCTCTTCATGCACACCTGGCAACGACTTATTATGTTTTCTAACTCCCCGGCTTTCACAGTTGATGGGATAGGTTTTCTGTAGTAAACAAAGAGTCACATTATTTTATGGCTAAAAGAGAGAATGCAGGCTGACTTGTATTAATGGCTGTGGCAACTTCTAACCTAAAATTTATCACAAGAATGAAATACATATCAGAAACAGCCCACTGTAGCAACATAATGCTAAAGTAAGAAAAGATTGAACTTGTCAACTATCTCATTGTACTTGGAACCATAATCAACTCTCACGGAAGCAGCAGAAGATGTATTGGTGAAATCTGCTGTCAAGGACCATTCTTTATTTTTTTTTAATTAATTTTAATGAAAATTTACAGAGACTTGGGGTTCCCAGTCATTCATTGTTGCACTTTTCTCCCTGCCCACCTCCACTACCCCAATTCACTCTTCTCCTTGAAAAATAAAACTCTCTCATTGTTATGCAATCCCTCCCCCCAACTCTACTACACTGTGCAGCCTTCATTCTGGACTTCTTTCATGACAATAATACCCAATCCCATATCCCTTTTAAACAGTTCTCTCCCTCATCTGTTTCAATGCAGTATACATCATTCAAGGACCACTTTTAAGTGCTAAAGAGCAAGGGTGTCAGTAGAAAGGCCAAGGTGTGCCTGACTCAAGCCATGGTATTTTCAATCGTCTTATGTGCAGGTAAAAGTTAGACAATGAATAAAGAAGAATGAAGAATATTTAATGCCTTTATATTATGGTGTTGATGATAAGTATTGACTATGTCATGGATTGCCAAAAACCCAAAGAATTCTCTCTTGGAAGAAATGCAGCCAGACTGCGCCGGAATGATATGTTATTAGGGAGGGCCAGTCTCTGGAAAAAGATACCAGGCTTTGAAAAGTAGAGAGTGAAGGAAAGAAAGACCCTCCACGAGATGGATCAATTCAGTGACTGCACCAACGATGCACAGCACGGCAGAGCTTGTCAGGGTGGTACAAGGTCGGGCAGGGCTTCATCCTCTTGGGCTCTAGGAATTGTAGCTGCCTCAGCAGCATCTAACAGCAAGAAGAGCAAGCTTGCAGAGCTTTTTGTCATAAAAACTATAACCACCGTTTCAGTAACGTATATAATATACCACAAGTCCTTCTGTCCAATCAAGATAAGCAGGTGATTCTGTGGTTTTAGTCTATAACTTACTCTTAGACTCTTGTAAATGTGAAATATATTTAATGATGACATAAAGAATGTATTTAGCATTTACTAGAACGTCATTCAGATGGTTTTGTTGTGTTTTATACAGGGTAGCAGTCACTGAGAACAGAACTGAAGGCACCTAACAACAGCAGAGGACAGTGATAAAATATCATGATGCTTTGTTGATGCCACAATGCTTGTAAGCTGGGAGAGCTAAATTAAACAGGATTCCACAGGCACGCAGGGATGGCATGCAGGGATTTAAATGTGAGGACACTACACACTGTTGGTATTAGATGCCATCAACTCAACTGTGACTTATAGCAGCTACAGGAGCAGATGGGAACTTTGCCCTCTCCTGTGGCACCATCATGACCTCTGCCATGCTCAAGCCCACAGCTGGAGGCCCTGCCTCTGTGCATCTCTGCGAAGGTCGTCCGTCAGCACAGGGAAAGCAGAACTGGCCCAGGAAACCTCTGAGTAGTGCTGCGGTTGAAATGCCGGATTCAGCGTGACTTTGAAGTTACCTGAACATTCTTTTGGGGTTTAAAGCAGCCAGCCAGAAACTGTAAGAATTTGAATAGTAGTTGCACGTTCCTCTTCCATGACATTCTAGAAAGGGACTTGCTCGGAATTCTTCCAGGCAGGAGCCGGGAGAAGCCAAGGCTTGCCCAGCGCCCTCTGAGCCTGCGCTTGTGAACTATTGTGACAAAGAGAGAGGAGTCAAAGCTCTGTCTACGGATGTTCAAACGTTCAGAACAAGAAAAATCAAAACAAACAAGCAAACAAACCCAAAACTCCACACATAACAAAACCAGAAAGTATAAACTAAACATTATGTATGTGGCAAATCCTGTTCCTAATGAGACTATTTCTTAGGCTCTTTTTACTCAGACTTGCTAAGGCTTCTGTTCCTTGGTGGCGCAGATGTCTTGCTCTCAGCTACCAACTTGTAGGTTGGTGGTTCACACACACCCAGTGGCACTGCAGAAGAAAGGCCTGGTGATCTGCTTCCATGAGATAACAGCCAAGAAAACCTTACGGAGTGGTTCTACTCTGAAACATACTTCGACTCGATGCCAACAGGTTTGCTAACATTCTAATAAGCACACTGAGTAATGAGGTGTGTTGTGTGTTGTTATACAGTCGACTCCAACGTCTAGTGACTCTGTAGGAGAGAGAAGACCTGCCTTGAAGGGTTTTCATGCTGTATTTGTTTTCCAGTCTCTCACTCATTGCCAATGAGCCAGGACTGACTCCTCGCTGCACCTGTAGTGGTTTCCAGGCAGGGAATCACTGGCGACGGGCCTGTGCAACTCTCTCCCTCAGAGCTGCTGGTGGATTTGAACCACCAGAGAAGATGCCTCAGCACAACTCCGCTGGTACTCTGACCTGAGCGTCCTTTTTCTATAGAGCAGGGAGGTTGCTGTGTATCATCGAGTTGGGACCGACTTAGAGCTGACTGTCCAGTAGGTTTTTAGAAGCAGTTAATGACACGGGAGGAGACTGCCCATCTTTCTCCAAAGGAGCAGCTGGCAGGTTTGAACCACGTGCCTTTGGGCTGACAGCACAATTCCTTATCATCAGGCCACATACGCTCGTTTTCAATAGAGACCCTTCTTTAAACTTGAAATAGGACAATAAGAAAGATGATCATTCTGGAACGAGGGGAACCTTCAGCATGATCCTCAAGGAATCCATTCAGCGATGGTCAGTGCTCTGGTGGTCTAGTGGCAAGAAGCTGCGCTGCAATCCTGAAGGCACGCAGTTTGAATATGCCACTTGCTCTACGGGAGAAAGATGGACCCTCTGCTCCTTGCCAGTTAATTCATTGCCTTTGAAAACCTGCTGGAGGGTCGGCTATGGGCCAGTTCCGACTTGATGCTACACACCAACAACTTTCAATTAGAAGGCAGAAAATCACCATCAGATGATGCTTGGTGGCACTTGCAATTCATGACCACCACACTGCAGTGGGACAACCGAAGGGGTACGTGTGATCGGGACACCTACATAATTGCACGTGACAAACGCACAGGCTCACATCTGGGGCTTCCGCCACCCGTCTATGTGGGGGCCACAGCATGCTCGTGGCCATTAGACCTGAGTCCTAGCTACCAGCACCCCATCTTTTAACTTACACGTGGTAACTTAAGGTTCATTTTGAGAAATCACTAAAGGCACACTGGGTCTTCTGTGGAGCAACCGGGTAAATTCTAGACATCAGCTTTTAGATTGACTAGGAAATGCTTAACCACTGAGGCAGGCTGCTTCTGTTAAGATGTACAGCCTTGGGCACTTGACTGTCCTGTAGGATCACTGTGGGTTGGAATTTCCTCAGTGGCTAGCAGAGTTTGACGTTCAGTGCATTTCGCCTAACTGTCCTTATTTACAATTTGTGGGAAATCTCATTCTAAGATGTCAGGTTTTTTTAAAAAAATGCTCTATTTATCAAAAAGAAACAATAAGACCACAAAGACAGTATGATTTGCAGCTTTTCAAGGAACTGTCCACAGCCTGTTGAATATACTATTGTAGGTGGTGACAGTCCCAGGCCCTGCATTTGACCCCGCCCAGTATAAGGCCCCACGAATCACCTGCCGTTCTTTCCACCTTACCATTACGAAAGAAAATCCTCTCCAGAGAGACATCCAGCCCTGGGGACACGGGGGAACGGCAGTGGTTTGGCTGTGAATGGCTATGGCGATCGTAGGGCCTTCACAGACAGTACACCTGTATGGGACATGAATCCAAGAACAAGGTGACATTGTCCCTCTCTGCACCTTGGTGTGCTGCCTTACCACCTATCACACGCCAGATCACCCACCTCCTCCCAACACCAAGCAAGGGACTGGCCTTTTACCTGCTGATGTAAGGCTCCAGGGCCCTTCCAGTAACCGGAGCCATGTCCATTGGCATCAGGGCCGGTGTGGACAGCCAGTACGAGTAATCATTGCGAGATGCAAAATTGCACACATTATTGACGTTACAGAATAAGAAGGGCATTGTGGTAAAGCGCTGCAGGCAGCTGCCAAGGGTTCCTGGTGAAGCGTCAGGTTGGGAATCACTGTTAGTAACTCAGGTGATTTTTGAGTGTCATTACTAGACACTGGCTAAGACAGTTCAAAACCAATCATTTCTAAAATGTGCTATGGAAAAATTTTATGATTATGGAAATGTTGTTGTTGTTCTATGCCATCAAGTCACCTGAAACTTAGAGCAACCCTAAGTACAATAGCTCTGAAGCCTGCCCTGTCCTGAGCCAATCTTACTGACTCCAACACACCTACCTCCAATGCCCCAGTTACTGTATCAGTTCATCTCATCCAGGGTCTTCATCTCCTGTACTATCCCTCCACCTTTCCGAGTATGATGTCCACCCCCAAGGACCAGCCCTTCTGGCTACATGCCCAAAGTATGTGAGATGGAGCTTCAAAATCCTTCCCTCCAAGAAGAAACTTGGCAAACTAATCTCCCTTCTGCCACCATTAAGAAGTTTGTGGGCCTTTCTAATCACTCTAGAATTGGGAATCAGCTCAGGGAGCCGCAGTGGCACTGTGATTTAGTGTGTTAGTCTGTTGACTAAAAAGTCAGCAGTTCGAACCCTCCGTCTGCTCCCTTGAAGAATGAAAGGGTGGTGTGCTTCCTTAAGCATCTGCAGCTTGGGAAACCCTGTGGTGGTGATGGGGAGGGCAGTTCTGTTCCGTCTTGTAGAGTCACTAGGACTTGGAATTGACTTGAGGGCAACAGGTCTGTGTAGCTTGGCTAGGAGGTAGTATCTTAGCTTCAAACATAGGATCACTATGTATCAGAATGGATGCAACAGCTGACAGTAACAACATTCCCAATTATTCATCTGTCCATATAGCAGTGAGCATAGAGTTTTATGTTTATTTGCAACTGAGGGGGTTTTTTTTGGTATGTGATTTTATTTTATATTGGTCAAAATGATGTTGTTTTTAAGATTAACAAGGGAGACAGATGGTTTAGTTGAAAGTTGTGTTGACCAGGACATGTCGGACTAGCAGTCACCAACAGCCTTGTTTATATTTTTACATTCCAGAATGAAATTCTGGCATTAGGCTTGACCCACTGCCATCAAGTGGATTACGACTTACAGTGACTGCTTTAAAATGCTAAAGAGCAAGACTGTCACTTTGAAGACTGAGGTGTACCTGACCAAGTCACATACAGGGGAAAGATGGACAGTGACTAAGGAAGACCAGAGAAGAAGTGATGCCTTAGAACTGTGTGTGGTGTTGGCAAAGAAAACTGAATAGAAGCAGGAAGATCATGAAAACAAATCCCTCTGGGATGAAGTGCAAACAGAATGCTCCTCTGAGGAGAGGTCAGTGTTCAGAGGGGCCAGTTCCTGGGAACACTATGCTTGGAAAAGCAGGTCAGAGAAGGAGAGGAAGACCTTCAAGCAGACAGACTGGCTCAGTGCCCTTAAGGGGCTTGAGTGGAGCCGAGCTGATGAGGACGGCACAGCGCTGGGCAGAATTCCATTCTGTCATATGCAGGGCACCTGTGGATCTGCGCTGACTCGATGGCACTTCATGACGACAAGATAGAACAGTCCCATAGGGCTTCCAAGGCTGTCGTCTTTACAGAGGGACCTCTGGAGACACAGTGAGTACGGAGCTGTGCTAATCCAGAGCCTCCGCCCCCCGGGAATGAGAATCCACCCGTGGTTCCTGGGACACAGACGAGTAATCTCCTCCCATGCTATTCACTGCCTTTGTAAACCCACTGGAGTGTTGGTTGTGAACTGGTTCCTACCCAACAGCAATGATTTCAAGAATCTTTACGGAATTGACTGCTGTACCTTTCACCTGTGAGAGGCTGATGCGTTCAAACTATCCCCTTTCTGGTTAGCGGTGGAACACTCTAAGCACTGTGCCACCAGGGAACCTTGGACATTCTGTGCTGTTTTAATTTTTGCTTTAAAAAGTGCTAGTGGCTCCTCAAGGCCATTTACGCTTAACTTCAGAGGGAAGCACAGCGTGGGCTCCAAAGAACGATGTGTGCCGAGAACAAAATGAAATGAAAACGAGGACTTTACCAAGGTCTTGTCCGTGGGCGCGTTCATTTCCTTGTACAAAAAGGAGAGAAAAGCCGCTGTAGAGCGTCTGTGTCCCTGCCGGGCATGAAGGAGGGGCCGTGGTCTGGCTGTGTCGAGTGAAGATAAAGCCCCTCGGGACTGTCCTGGTTGCAGGTGGTCCCATGTCTCCTTGTCGCCCCTTTAAACCTGGCAGTCCAGCTGACCCAGGTGGCCCTTTAGAATAAAAGCAGATCATCAGTGTTGCAGCAAGGAGCCTCACATGTCACACAGTGTCCATGTTTCTGTCAGAGGTACTAATCCAAACATTTGTGTGCACCTAGTCAGTCTCATTGACTGAAAGGAGATCTTATAACAGAGGAATTTAGAAAATGATCAAAGACTATTATTAACTGTTGACTTGTTTATCACACGAGGGCTACTACAGACATTTGTGTTGATCTTATCATGAGCTCTGGAGGGGTAGCCGTAAGGAGTGGTGGTGCTAACCCAAAGGCAGGACCTCTTCGACAGTTCAAATCCACCAGCAGCTTCTTTGGAGAAAGATGAGCAATCGACAGCTGCCAAAATCCTTTCTTTGCAGGCACCTCCAGTGGACTTGAGCTGCCAACCTTTTGATTAGATCTGAGAGTGCATCCCTCACTCCATTCCTGTCAACTTTATTCCAACCTAAAGGAACCCTACTTTCAGGAGCAGAGCAAAGCTGCCTGTGTGGACTCCCCAGACTCTGAATCTTCGGAGAAGGAGATTGCCTAATTTGTCCCTTGTAGAGCAGCTGGTGGATTTGAACAGATGATTCTTCAGTTGGCAGCACAAAGTTTAATCCTCTATAGAACCAGGGCTCCTAAATTCTCTCATAGTAGATAATAAAAAAAATTCCGCAGAGTTTTGATAAATGCAATAAACCATCATGAAAATCAAATCCTCTCAAAGGTGCAAATTTCAAGAAAGATTTTGACCAAATAGAAAGGACTATAAAACCAGAAAAGGTAATTTGTGTTGTAGTAACAGTTTCTTCAACTTAACTCTACATGTAAATGAACTAACTGGTTCTTAAAGACTTTTTTCCTCTGCAGTAGGAGCTCTGGTGGCCTAAGAGTAAGAAGCTGCTCTGCAGTCCCAAAGGCATGTGGTTCAAATCCACAATAGCTGCTCTGTGGGAGAAGGATGAACAGCCTCCGCCCATGCTATTTACTGCATCTGAAAACCTGCTGGAATGTCAGCTCTGGGTTGGTCCCGACTCAACAGCTCAAAACAACAAGAAGAATAATAAATAAGCTAAAGCACATTCAACCCTTTCTTTTTTTTTAATTATTATTAAATTTTATTAGTTTCAATGAACATTCAGGGATTCTGGGCTTTCACTCCTTCATTGCCGCACCATTCTCTCCACCCTCCTCCCCAGTTTGTTCTTCTTCCCCGCCATCTGAATGTCTGTTTTAATTGTCCAGTTGCCACAGTGCTTGTCAAAGTCAGTTCTGATTAATCTCCTTTGTCGGTGTGTCCTTTGCCTAAATGGATATTCTTGATCTTTAACACTTTGGGGAGGTCCTTGAGAGCACATTTTCTCAATGCAACATGTCTTTGAAGTTTTTTGACTGCTGTTAGATCCAAGTAAAATGAAATAACTGGCAACATTAATCTTTTCTTTAACTTTTAAAGTATTGTATATTGATTCATGATAGTCAGAATATTTTTCCTTTTCATTCTGAGATGTATTCCATATTGGAGGTTATTGTCTTTGATTATCTAAGCAAGTGCTAGCAAGTCATCAAGGCTATGTAATCTACATAATGCAGACATAGAATAAATGGAATGATATCTTTACTATTGAAAAAGCTTTAACATATTATTTAAGCATCTCTAGCTTGCTGTTTTTTTACTTAAATAAAGGCTGAGGCTAAAGAAGTTACTAGTAGCATTTTTTTTAAATTCAGTTAATTAGGAAACACAAGTATTTTATGTCATGTTTTCATTACAATTATAAAATAAAAATTCACTCACAGACCACTTGTATTAAAAGCCAGTTGTTGCATTTTTATGACATTCTCATTAACAATATGTCATTAAATTATATTAATTAAATTGGACTGGATTCTACACCGTGTCGTGAATGTCAAAAATAGTGTTTTATAATGAAAGCTGCTTCCCCAAGGTCTTAACAAGTCTTTTGTATTAGGACTTCCTATTGCTAACTAAATTGTACTCTAGGGGCTTTGTGGCTTACTCAGTAGGATGTTGCCATCACAGGATACTCAAAATCAGTTATGAGTCAGTTCTGACTCAATGGCAGTGAGTTTGAGCTTTTGAGGGTACATAAATAGCTGAGAGCTTTCCCACCACATATTAAGTTAAACCAAGTCTTTTTGAACCTATTTATGTAGAAAATGAGAAAAAAAATTGTTTGGAATAGAAAAGACTGAAACTTTTACTATAGTAATATTTTAATATAATTTTACCTTTAAATTATAATTTAAAAATAGGAATATATTTACACAAATATGGATGTAGGTATTTTCACATATCAGTAAGAATATGTAGGTATATATTTATACACAGATGTTGTTTTTATATGTTGTCAAGTGAACTACAAATCATAGCAACTCTATGAACAATAAATCTGAAACTTGCCCTATCCTGTACCATCGTCATGATCATCATCATGCTAGAGCCTATTGTTGTAGTCACTGTGGCAATTTGTCTCGTGGATACCTGCTTCTCTAGGGCTGAGCCTCTATATTTCCTGATAAAGTGTCTTTTCCCAAGGATTGGTCATTCTTCACGACATGCCAAAAACATGTGAGACTAAGCTTTATCATCTTTGCCTCTAATGAATACCTTATTGCTCTTATTTTATGAAAGATTTGCATATTTTTGACACATAAAAAAGCAGTTGCTTAAACAGAGAAAAGGGACACAAGAAATGTGTGCATCAGGTTGTATAATTTCTACCTATTCAATATCTATGTTTAGCAAATAATTTGAGAATCTGGACTACATGAAGAAGAAGAAGGTGGCATCAGGATTAGAAAAAGACTAATCAACAACCTGCATTATTCAGATGTGACAATCTTGCAAGTGAAGAAGACCCTAGGAACTACTGAATAAGAACAAAGATTAAAGTCCTTGATAAGAATCATATTTCAAAATAATGATAAAGCAAAAGATTGAATTTATCAATTATTTAATTTTACTGTGATCCACAATGAACACTTGTAGCAGCAGAAATAAAAAACCATGTTGCACTGAGAAAATCTATCGTCAACTGGTAGTGGGCATTGAGGCTTTGTCAAGGGGAAATATTGAGTTCCATACAGTATTCTGAGGATATTTGCACTTGAATGGACTTGTGGACTCATATTAGAAGAAATTCACTTTCAAAAGAAGAGCAAGTAGAAAAGGAGAGAAGGAAAAAGAAAAAATGAAAAGGAAAAGAGTATATTTTTTATAGCTGGAACAAGTCATTTGACTTCTGAGGCAGCATAAAGTTGGTTTCCATCAAAGCTCATTTCTAAGACTTGAGTTTAGAGCATACTCACTCATAGCAATCACTGCAGTGGAAATGGGAGACATACAATAGGGGAGAAACAGGTTGCGTTTGGATGTGTCCCTTCAGCTCTGCCCACCTAGCATGTACAGATGTATGATAGAGCAGGGAAAGGTGATTGGCTTTAGGAACAGCGAGTTGAGAGGACCTCTGGCTTTTGTATTTCTCTTAGTCCCATGCAGGGGCTAAGACTGAATGAAGATACCAACATGTCTGGAATGTGGGGCGAAGTGTGGACTCCTGAGCTTCCGGCTGATGCTCATTTGAACCAAGCTATTGATGGCTGGGGATTAGCTGACCAGGACCCAACCAGATGAAGAAAAGATATCTACGTTGTGAGCTAGGGTAGATCACTGAAACTTCATGGCTTGCTTTGGACTAGACTTTCCTTGTGGATACAGATGCTCAAAGCTTCCAAACAGAACAGCAAAAGGAACATACTTGTTCCCTCAGAGTACTGGTTTGATAGGAATGGACAAATCATAAGTTTGCTATCTAAAAGAGGAAGATTGGGCATAAGACATGAAGAAGCTGGCTTACTTGTTTTCATGAAAGTGGTTGTTGGCAGAATGATTGTAAGGGTGGAACCTCACACTATAAGTGAACGAAGTGTAATGTGAATGAGAGACTGTGTGGAATACAATGTACATGTATGAAATATATGTTGTTGTTGTTATGTACTGCCGAGTCGTTTGCGACTCATAGTGACTCTATGTACAACAGCCCTAAACCGTGCTCTATCCTGTGCCATTCTCATTGCCTCTGACACACCCATCCTGATTACCCCAGTCACTGAATCAATCCACCTCATAGAGGGTCTCCCCCCCCACTCTACCCAGCATGATGTCCCTCTCAAAAGACCTGTCTCTCCTTATAACATGTCCAAAGAATGTCAGACGAAGCCCCAGAATCCTTGCCTCCAAGGAGCAGCCTGGTTTAACCCTCTCTAGGATGAATCTATTTGTTTTCTTGGCAGCCCATGGTACATTCAGTACTCTTCTCCAGCACCACAGCTCAAAGGCGTCAATTCTCCTTCTATCTTCCCTAGTCATTGTCCAACTCTCTGAT